GTTTTGTGTCGCTGTGAAGCTCTGAGCTACTGTAGGCAGACTATACTGGAGTTCATTACTTTGGACCCTCACGACATCAAGAAGCTTGGACTCAAGGCGATTCTCAACTTCGCTAAAAGGGCGAGGCTTGTGATCTAAGGATTGTAGAGGTGCATAAGTGCCCGCTTAAGCGGCCTATGCACTAGCTCCTTATGGTGGCTGGAATGCCTCTAATTTCAAGATTCATTCATTCAAAGCCCAAAAATCCTCTATTGGGCGAGTCCGCGGCATGTTTGTTGGATTATCGTTTTTGGGAACAAAAGGTAAGTTGTGTTGTCGAAGCCAGTTTTGGGTATCTCTTGAGTAACGCCATGATGCTAGGTCTGGCCAAAACATGATATGGTCATTAGCATGATGTTTGTGGACAAACTGAAGCAATTTGCAAAGGCAGTTATCAATATAGCTCCCACTATTCAAAGCTGCACCCCTCACTCTTTCCACAAAAGGTTGGGATACACCCCTGTTAGAAATTGTGCACTAGACAAGGATTTTATCGGAAAATTTCGCTATATGTTTGTATCTAACATTGTCAGGGAGTTCCTCTGCTTTAGAATTATTCAAAGTAAATTACTTTTCGTCATCTAAAATAATGATTTTTCCATTGGCAAAGTGTAACCCCCCTCAGTTGACCACAGCATCTTGGTGTGCGAAGTTGCGATTGAGAGTTTTTGAAGCACTTAAGTCTCTTTCGATATCAAAGATCATTCCCCCTCAATTCCAACTATATTGTACTCTTGGAACATCTGTATTGACGAGCCAGTACCTTGTTGACATTCTAACCTGACTTTTGCTCTTCTCGCCAATCACTCTGACCTCTGTGTAGGACATCCACGTGGTCTTCCACTTTTTGGGAGATTGAGACATGGTATTCCTTGCTAGCACTTCGCTATTGTTCGATAAATGGTTCTGCATGAAATGTTTTCATTCTGGAATATTCGACAGATTTCAGCTTACTTACTTCTGATTTCTAATTTATACTTACGACATCTTAAAGCGAAAACTTTAAAATAAATGAATGTCAACTGATAGTAGTAAACAAACTTTTGTTTATAAAGGCATCTTGATATTATTTTATGTTTGTTAAAATTAAAGCTAATGAATTTTGTGCCAAAGCGTTTCGGACATACGTGATGATTCTGGTAACAGATGACGCTTTGAGCTTTGTTATTTCGATTGTACTGTAAATGGAGTAGGGTTGTTCAGCTTTCGTTCATTGTCCACTAAAACCAAGCCTGCCCCATGGTGAAGAGCTGCCAAATAGCAGGAAGCAGCTAATCATTGTTGGCCGAATGTGGTCGGACGACGGAAAGGTATATTATGAGTATTACAAGTGAATCCCTTTTAACAACGTCTATGCGCCTGTATAGCCCAGCTTGTACATATATTTACTGGAAATAACAAAACCGTTGACCTCTGTAATTAGGCTTAAGCGTGGAAGAAAATGTTGGCGCAAACACTTCACAAAAGAATTGTTTTATGAGGATTTTAATGAATTCGTAAACAGGACAAATAAAGCTTTCAGACAGCCTTTTACCGCCAGTCAGTAAAATGGGCCCCAATTAAGGAAAAACGGAAATCCAAAAAGGACCTATGCTGCTGACGAAGGTGTTTTATAGCAGCATACGCCTATTGAATTTAGCGGTGAAAGCTGCTATGGTACTTAATTAGTTCAGTTTTCTTTGTGCCACGTTAAGGACGTATTTTAAATATGAAAGCTAGTACGTGTTTTTTACTGCAAGTTCAGATGTTCATTACAGGTTCATAATAAGTGACGGAGTCTTGAAAGGATATCAGAAATTGAACGTTGTATGATTGTTATCACTCAAAGCTCGATACAAAGAAAGCTTCGTCGATCGTTAAATTAGGCGAACACCTACTCAGACTATTGATCAAATACTCCATCCAATAGAAGTTGTCACGACTAAAAACTCGGCGATTTGTGGCTTAATCCGTCTTGAGCCACTGGCGCTCTTAACACCCCCCTACTCTACGCTTTATTGAGCTAGGGCCTAAACTTGCACGCCTCTTGACAGCTGTTGCATTGGCCGACCCTTAGACTTCATTTATGGTAATTTACTAAGTCATTAATTAATTTGATTTAAACAAGAGGAAAGAGGAATCACACCACCATTTCCTCATATTTATAAAAAAAAGGCGTGGCAAAGTTTAACTCAGGTATCATTATTAAGGACTGCTTTATGGGATGAACCCCTACAAAATAGACTCCTAGTGGTGATCCAGAGATCCTTAAAATATATGGTTCTACCGATGAGTCATTTGTTGGGGACTTTTGTTGTACACAGAACAGAAGTTTTTTGGTGTTATTCTTGAAGCTGCGGTTTGTACTCAACTTGAGAAGTATCTTAACACAAATAATTTGTTCTTGTGTCAGCGATCTGGAATTCGTCAAGATCGTTTCTACGAAACATCGCTCTTATATATTGTTTCCACAAGGTATACACTGGATTTCAAGAGAATTTTTCCCACTATTAATTGTGAGGTTGTGCTTGAGAAGTTAGAGCTTATGACCCATTGATTCATTTCTGAAATGGTTAATATATTATATGTGAATCGTTTTCTAAAAATTAAAAGTACTGTAGCTAATGGCGACTTGGCCGCATATTTATTTATTTATTTATTTATTTATTTATTTATTTATTTATTTATTTATTTATTCATTCATTCATTCATTCATTCATTCATTCATTTATTTATTTATTTATTTATTTATTTATTTATTTGTTTATTTATTTATGTACACCACCAACAGATAAACCAATTATTGGTGGGAGAACAGAAGTTAACATAGTACAAACCTGAAGTAATTAATATACATAAGAAATATAACAGTCACAAAAGTACACAATTATATAACAGATTTGAAGAGGATCTTAATAGAGGTCACATTTGTATTAAATATATCAATTAGAAGAATATCCGGACAATCATATTGGTTGTGAATAACCTTGAATAAGAATATTAGTGAGTTCATTTTTCTTCTGTGGTCTAAGCTTAGCATACCCTGCCTCTTTAATAATACATCTTGAGGAACACCTATTTCTGGATAGATACCATATATCCTGTAGGACAGACATTTCAGAAACTTGCGTTGTATTTTTTCTATTGAGTCACAAGTCGTCACATAGCAGGGATTCCAAATAATTCTAGCGTATTCCAGTTTTGAGATACAAAACCCAGACTTTTATTTACAGAATTTAGAAGGTAATTGATATGCGGATTGAAACTGAGGGTTGTGTCACAGGTGACTCCAAGATCTTTGAATTCTCTTAGATTTGGCAGCGCTGTTTGATTAACCTTATATAATGATATTCTATGGAGCATTGTTTTCTGGAATACGTCATGCTGGTACACTTGCACGCATTCATGGATAGGTTATTATTATCGCACCAAATTATTATTATGTTGAGATTATCTTGGAGACGTTCGCAATCGGTGCTGTTGCTAACCTGAGTATAAATTTTAAGATCATCGGCATATGAGAGATATTTGCAATCAATAACGTCACAAATGTCATTGATAAATATGATATGTGGGACACCTATGTTGGAGTAAACTTTTGGGATTTGGATCTCCTTAATTCCACAAACAGCTTACGGTTGGACAGATAGAATTTCAAAAGGCATACTAAATCATGTGAAAAGCCCATTCTATCAAGTTTTGCTAGTAGCAGATGAAGGTCCAGCCTATCAAATGCTTTACTAATATCTGTATAAATGACATGTGTTTGCACTCCAGCGTCCAGGGATTCAGAAATGAATTGTGAAAAACAAATTAGGTTAGTCGTTGTGGACCTCCCTTTCATAAAACCGTGCTGACAAGGAGATATACTCTTACTGACACTAACATATATAAAATTGTACAATAAGTACTCCAAAGCTTTGGAGAAGTTACATACCAAAGTAATTGGTCTATGGTTTTCTACAGCAGTTCTGTCACCTTTTTTAAATATTGGACATATTCTTGCTTCTCACCAAACGTCGGGATATATTTTAGTTTTCAGAATAATATTGTATATTTTTGTAAATGGGCATGCAAGGATACACGCACAGTCTCTCAGCAAAAAAGATAGGATACAATCTGGACGACTGGTCAATTTATTTTTCATTCTTTTCAACGCCTTATATACTTCAGTTTCGTTAAAATTAATTAGGGAAAAATTAGTATAGGATGAAGGTAAATCACTTGACGGAGGCAAATATAGTGTACCGTCAGAATTACCAGCCCCTTGCGGTAACAATGGTGGCTGGGCTATCAAACGCTAACTCAGACCTTTGGGCCCATTTTACTATTAATTAGCGGGAATTAAAATTTACGCCACAAATTGGATCAACGAGACGGCGCCTTAGTAATAGCGTAGTAGCAATGAATTAGATGTATCTCAAACTTGCGTAATATTATTGATTTGTGTAAGACGGCACCAACACCCATATTAAAACATAAATCCTTCATAGATCACCTGGCTTAGCTACAAAAATCTGTTTTTTGATTTGTGTCCGGACACATAATAAATGAATATATGATTACATAATGCCTATTCTTTAGCAAACATCGAGTAATCAGTTTACTAACTTACTGTTAACAGGAAAATATCGCGCACTCCACTGAACGGTATGACGACTACTTGACCATGTTGACATCCATTGCATCGACGTTGATCGTTCCACATTTCGATACCCTAGGGACAAAGAAGCCAGTTTGGGGTGTACGAAGTTTGACACGGTTAGAATGGAAAGCCGAAGTCAGGCAGCTCTGTCTGGCCGGTATGGTGGAATTACCTGAAAGAAGAGAAATTATTTAAAAATAACAGGAATTTTGGAGAAATATTTTCCGTTATGAGGGATCTCCCTTAAGTTTTGCATATGGAAATAAAACAATACGGTAGGTAATTTTAAATGACTTTATTGTTTTTTGAAGTATTCTCCACGAAGATTAATACAAATCTACATGCTCTCGAACCAATTTTTGAAGTACTTATTCCACTCGCTTGCTGGCAGGTCCAAAACGGCATTTTTGAATGCGTCAACTGCTTCTTCTGGTGACTGGAACCTTTGACCACGCTGTCTGTTTCTAATTTTCGGGAAAGTAAATAAATCGTTAGGACTTAGATCGGGACTATATGGAGGATGCTCCAATAATTCCACGTTTTCTTCCGTTAAATACTGCCTTGTTTTTTGGGCTGTGTGCGAGCTTGCATTGTCTTGGTGGAGGATGATGCTTCCTTCGGGGTTGATTTTTCGAATCTCGGTGATGACTTTTGGCAAACAAATGATGGGATACCAATCCGCAGTAATAGTTCTTTGCTCATTTAGACGAATTATTGCAATATGACCCGCTTTTGACACAAATGTCGCGACCATCTTTTTCAAAACACTTCGGGAATGGATGACTTTTGTTGGCTTTTCTTCACCTTGCAACACCGAAACAGCCAAGTGTCGTTTATTTTCTGGTTCATAACAGTAAATCCACGATTCATCACCACTAACAATGCTGTACACATTTTTTTGAGTTTCCGGCATTGAAACGGCCAAGCGTTCTTTGACACCAATTAACTCTGGCTGCTTTCTGCTCTTCAGTCAACAGGTGGGGTAGGGGAGACTACTGAGGCTTGAGACAAGGGAGGATTGAGACACTACATTTATTTCCTAAAATCGGGTATGCAAAGCCATCTGTTGATTACTGGTTAATAACTTTAGTCAAATCCCTCACCGCTTGGCCAACGAATCGGCGAGAGTAATCAGTAGAACATTGTTGTTAGTGCAGGTGCAAAGTGGTGGCCAAAACTAAATTGTAATTTTGTGATATCGTTGTAGTTTGCCGCAAGTTAAAGTGAAAATTTGAGTTGATTGCTTAGACATTGTGACTTTAGGTATGTTGTGAATTATTTATATAGTTATACCATGAAATAGAATTTTAACAAGAATTTCAAGTTAGATTATTTCATGAAATGCTATATAGGGAGACATGAGACAGTTGTTTTGGGGAGACATGAGACGTCTCATCTAATCTAAAATTCCGGTTAAAAATCTGATTAACTGGATTACTACTATTTTTAAACAATTAAAAAATGCTAATCTGATTGAGAAATAATTTTAGACGATCGCGGCTTAACCACTAAACAAACTTTTGTTAGACTAGAAATTTTGAGCCCGCTTCTGAATGCAGGTCCTGGAAGACGGATTACAAAGCGAAAATGTGGTTCCTCAAGAATTCTTACCGACACACCAGAAAAAGAAGCAATAAGAGGCTGAAGCAACTGCTCGAAAGATAAAAAAAGTTGTTCTGTTGAAGCATGACGATCTTTTATCAAGAACAAACAAACAAAAATATTTATAGAAACCTGCAACTCCACCACAGCCTTCTTCAAGTGATGAAGAGGAACAAAGCGAGCTGGGCGGAAGTAAGGAAGATATTTCAGATGTTGAAGGCTACGAAAGAAAAGTGCTTCAGATGAAAGCTCTTGGGGATGTCAAGGCCTTCCAAGTGGGAGACTTCGTTTTGGTTAAGTTTTACACAACGACTTCAACTATGTATTATGTGGGTCTGGTAATATCAAAGGAAGATGATGAATTCTTGCTAAAATTTTTACGTCGTCACGGAACCACCTGGAAATTTGTTTATCCACCAGTGGAAAATATTTCTTCAGTTCGAGAACAAGATATTATCCTGAAATTACCATTTCCAAAAAATGTAGGTGGAACCGAAAGAGTCAAATCTACTCTGACATTTGGTCTGGACCTACGTTGCTATGAAAATGTTCGTAGATTTTCTTTATTATTGTCATTATTTTTTTTAATAGACATTTTTCGTTGTTGATTAATAATTAACAAACTCCTTGCGTTGTAGATTTTCTTTATTTTTTATTTCTTCAACAAAGAATACACGTTTCCCAACAGCTTACAGTGTCTCAGTGCTCCCTATAACTTGTCTCAACGCTCCCTTGCCTAGGGAGTCTTAAGACAATTTACACCGTTGAGTTGAAATACATTTAAACAATTTCAATAATATTTTGGAAGCATGAAAAAGTATGGCAAGTTTAGCTAAATCGCACACAATTCACTTGCCCGATATGAAATCTTTAAATTGCAAATTGTATAATGTATAAGAAATAAAATTAATTTTTTGTCTCAAGCCTCCCCAGTCTCCCCTATCCAACGAGAAACTAATCTTCTTACTCCTAATTCTTCATGTAAATTTTTTTGAATTCAGGTCTTTGAGATCTTCAAGGACGCCTCAATCTCGCGATTTGTCACATGTCTATCTTCAATGATGAGTTTGTGCACAGCATCGACGTTTCCTGGGTAACTGCCGTTTTTTGTGCACCCACCCTGGGATCGTCGCTAAGACTCACCCGTCCACGTTTGAATTCTCCATACCAATGGGAAATTGTCGACTGATGTGGCGCTTCGTTGCTGAAAAGATTCTTGTTGCGATAACTGTCTCTGAAGGTTGTAATAAATTATGGCGCGAAAATTTTTTCGGTTGAGTTCCATTTTTCTAATGACCTGGTGACACTTAAAAATTCACTGTAGTGAGACCACTGCACGTATTGTTGTGAAACTTTGAAATTAAGTTTACTAAAGAGTGAGGTTAAGATTCAGTACTGACGTTCGATCCGCGCGGCCTACTATCTATCTATATGCAAAACTTAAAAGACATCCCTCGTATTGAAGTTTGAAGCTTTAAGTTGGCTGAAATAAGTATACGTTGTTGAATTCCTGGTCGATTGCGGAGATCTCTAGGAAAAAGCTCAGTCATCAGTTTAGAGCTGAAACATTTTTTCCACCATCCAAACTTCTCACAAATCCAAGCCATGTATGTGTAGTCTTATCCTCGCCAATGAAAGTGGGACAATCCAACTAACCGGCGATACTGCCTTATTATAGAAGTCCCGTTCTTTCATCGGCAAGTAGTTACTCAACTTAGGTATGTTTTTCTGCCATGTTGTCAACGAAACTTGCTCTTGTAAGCTGAACCCTTCGATGACGTGTCCAAAGGAACCCAGTACAGTTTGACCAATACAAGCAAACCCTAACAAACCATAAAAATTCAATTTGTATTCATATACAGGGTAACCAAAAAGTCATGCAGCAAACGGAAGGAGGTGATACCGGGGGCCATTTGCAGTCAAAAATCATATATGTCCTGATCCGATTGTGCACGGTTTTAGAGCTGTCGCCATTTTTAGAAATTTGTGGTAAATCACTACCTTTGAGTCTGTAGTATTCTTTCTGAAGTTGGCTTTTGTTGATTGAGTGAAAATTTAATCTAGCTAGTGTAGGTACAGCAATCGGCTAATCTGCAATTTTGTCTGTGGTCAACAAGGTGACAGCATATACAACAAGGCCGGTAATAAAATTAGAAGGCGGATAATATGTCCATAGCGACGAAAACCTTTTCGATACTATTGCCTTCCAAAATACCTACTAGATAGTCAGATATCGTAAACAGTTTCTGTGCAAAGTAGACAAAATGCTGCAGGCACTCTAAATTCTAAACTCCCATTTTTTAAGCTTAACCCTTAAACTGAAATTGTCGATTTTCCAGCTTCTGGATATGATGGGGAAGCAACTAAGGCACAACAAATCCTCAAATTCAATGGGTAATAGAGGGTTATGGAAATCCAGCCATATTACTACAAATATTAACAAAAACAGGTAAACCAACATGGGTAGTGAAAAGGGATGCGTGTATGTTGCCGAACCCATTTTCCTTATGAAATTCGATGCAAGATGCCGTACTCGTCACAGAAATATGCAGAAATGCATTTCATTTATGGATTGTGCAATGGAAATGCTCGACGTGCTGCCGAAGAGTAACCAAACCGATATCTCCGAAGAGCATCTTTTCCAGAACATCGTACATTTATTCGTGCCTATGTAGCAAGAGAAATGCCTGGGAGATGAAAAAGGCCGAGGATTAGCGTAGATGCTGAAGATGTGGTACTACAGTTGACTGAAAAAAAAAATAGTTTAAAAATCTGAAAAAACTCGTTTTTATAGCTAACCTAACAAAAATCAGAAAATAATTTTCGATTTACAAGGACTTTATAATACAGTAGTAGATGGTCGAACAATTAATCATTACTAATGACCTCAAAATAAAATTATAATAAAAGTTATTAACAGAATAATTCAATTCAGAGTAAAAAGCGTGGGGTGCTTGTTATATTAATTGTTACAATCATTCTATTGGCAACTGTCTATGAGAGGAGAGTTATAATTTTATTTTGACGTCATCAATCATGATTGATTGTACAACCATCTGCTACTGTAATATAAACTTTTTGTAATTAAAAATGATTTCTAATTTCTAGTTCGGTTAGCTATAAAAGCGTGTTTTTAGTTTTTTTAAACTACTATTTATTTTCATTTTGTAGTTCGATTTATTAATTAGTTTTTTGTGGACATGTCATCGGTCCCTGATACGTGTGCGAAGTTCAAGTTTATTTGCACTATGACTTTTGGGACACCCTGTATTTCCGACTCGGATATTTCCAGTATAGTTGGCGAAACGACGTTTATATCACATTTACATTAATGCCATAAAAATTCTCATGTTCGCGTGCCTAGAATGACCAGAAATCATATTAGTCAAAAGGAACGATGATAGACGTCAACGAATAAATCAAGACTAATGAACACTGTAGCATTAATTTGCAAGAATGACTTCTTGCTTAAACGCCCGCTTACATGCTCGGGTGTGTCAGGGCCACACCCATGCAGCCCTTTTTTCATACAAAGGAATTCAGTGTGCTGGCCTCGAGGTGTTTGAAAGCTATCTTGATGCTGTTTTAGCTAAAGAAATTGCGAGAACATGTTATTTCAGCAAAATGTAGGACAAAAGCAACCATTAGCATATTCATTCTTCTCGATTTTTTCCTTGTCAAATGGTGACCCTGTTATCACTCAGAGCAAACATACATCCATGTTCTATCATTATCAAGGTAACCTCCATGTCTTACTACCCATAAGTAAATTATTCGTTCTCATTTTTCCTGGCGTACTTTTCATAAACCTTGTTTTGTCTTATAGGACGCCATATTGGGTTTTGCATAGGTAAATAGTTTTTAGTGCTGATGCTAAAAATGCATAATATGCTATGCAGTTATTTCAAAGAAACAACATTCTCTAAGTGGGTATTCAAAATGTCAGATAGTCACTTGTTTTATAATATCATCAGCCAAGCACCTTTTCAGTCTCTACGAACTTCGAACAGGTGAAAAGTCTCTATTTCCGGTTCTAATGATGTGTAGGCTACATACCATGTTGTGGATAATATACTCTGTGACATATAAATCCGAACACCCCAGTTTAAATGGTTTTATTTTAATAAAAGTTGGTGAATGTATTATCTTACTGTAAATAACAAGTGAAAAAATTTTCAGCCTTATCAGTTGGACATTCCGGTTTTTATACTACTTTTTTTTAATTCACAGTAAAGCCGCAGTAAGAATCAACGTTGGCGGATTTTAGTTCTTGACATCCTTACGATCGGTTACGATGCCTAGAGTACGGAG